TTGAGAAAGCTAAAAGTGCAGTGGTTAAGTTCCCTGAAAATACTAATGTCAGTCAAACCCTGGCGGTGCAATGATTAAGCCCTCAGCTGCCAACTTACCAGTTGGTAGTTCAAACTTACTGGTTGCTCCATAGGAGAAAGGACCTGGTGATCTATTCCCCTAAAGATTACAGTCTGGGAAACCCTATGGGGCAGTTCTGCTCTGCCTTGGAATCAACTTGACGGCATACAACATCCAAGTAGTAGGCAGTCCGCCAGTGTAGGTGTGTCCCTGGCAGGCCAGGTCTGCTGGAAGAAAGCCGGAGTCCTGCACACCAGGGTGAAAGTGGAATGTTGATGAGGCAGAAGATGTCCTTCCCCTTGGCTCACAACCCATGCCCCGGTGCCAGCACGGACTGCACAATTCTCGGTTTGGGCTCTTTGCCCTGTGTCACAAGCTCCTTGGTCATCCTGCTATTCTCTGAGCCTAGAGCTCTACCTGGCTCCTGTCAGGTAACTCGCAAGCTCATAAATGCACTTCACTTTTCTAAGTTGCAGTGGGAAGGCAGACATATAAATAGATCCATATAAGGTATTATGCAGTATTTCTCAACAGGGACATTGGCATATGTGTGGGAAATTCTTTGTTCTGCAGGACTGCCCCTGCATTAGATGGTATGTAACCCTGGGGGTGTACCCTCTTGTTGATAGTGTATTCCTCCCAACTGATATGGCAAACCAAACCATCTATACACTTCCTCGTGCCTCCTGGAGAGTGGTGTCTGCAGCCCTTACATTGTGAACCTCTGCAAGGAGGACTTTTTCCCCATAAAGCTGGCAGATAAAGGGAATAACTGATGACCCTCTTGGGGACTGGGGGTGGATCAGTGGAGGGAAAGCGTGTCTTGAAGAGTGAGGCTGTGAGGAAAGCATCAGACAAACGAATGGAGGAGAGGTGTTCAATAGCATCCATCCCTTCCAGCACCTCAAAGTTGTTCCCTGAGGCTAGGGGAAGAGGTACAGATCTGAGGGGGGCTGTTCGGTGAATAGTTGGAGAGGGGTCCTGGGCTCTCATGTGGAGGGCTTTATTTATAGAGTTGATGTAGAAGCTACTGGAAGGTTTTGAAAAGGACAGAGGCATCATTAGATGTGTGAGGCTGTAGTGCATTCCTGGAGGGATGAGACCATGCCCATCGTTGGGGGGAAGGTAATCAAGTCCTGAACCAACTGTAGTGATGAGGATTGGCTTGTATTGTCTGTTGATGAGTAGGCCTCACCTATCAGCTTAGAAATCACTTCTACCTTTGTTGTT